TTTTTTTTTTTTTTTTTTTTTTTTTTGAGGTTTTGTATACATTTGCGTCGAAGAGAATCGTGGGATAGCGACAGAGATGCCTGATCCCAATTAGAAATTTCTGGTAAAGGACTCTTTGACACTTTGTTATATTTTAATGGCATTATTTGGATGTCCGATATGACACTATTTTTAAGTTTTATGCAATCGACACAGGCGAGGAGTTTTTCTTGGGTAAAGACCGTTTTTTGAATGATGAGTTGGAGTACGTGATGTTACTCCTTTGTATCGTATTATCTGGGTGTGCTATGACAAAACATTGCCAAGAATATAACAGCTTTGCGGATTCTGTGTACTGCGTTTGCAGTTTAGGTTGTGCATACTTTGTATTAGTTCAACTAATTTTTATTTCTGGATTTCTGTCTTACAAAAGTATTCTCTTCTTGAAATAATTCTTTAAAAACTCCAACGGAAATTTACGTACTTTTAATGAGGTTATAAAAAATTCTACTTCACAAGTGGACAATATTTAGACAGGGCTCACCCCTCAGGTTATCAAGAAGGGTGAAAAAACTGTATCCACCTTTTATTGTTTCTCACTTATATGTAAAAGATGACAACTTTAGCAAGTTTATAGAAGTTTTTTGTTCTGTTAGAGTAAGTTTTATTTTGATTTGTTTGAAGAGTAAGAAGCTCTGTTGAAACTTTAACTGGATTTTATTTTAGAAAGTCCTGAGCGATATAAGACCAATTTCCTTCAGCAAAGCTGATTATAGTGGAAAAGAAGTTTTGAAAATGGTGTGAGTAATGTCAAACATATTTATGATAAAGAAGATATAACTCCTTTCGAAATATGTACCGATTCTGAAATGTAATAAGAGAGAGTTTTTGTTCAGATCTTTTAGTTTATCCGTTTTTTCGTATTTTTTGTGTTGTATCCAGTATTTCCGTAACCTTTAGTACTCCTTATCAAGGAGGAGTACTTCTTTATCTTTGGGTCTTGAGAGTAAAACAAATAGTTTGAAGTGTAACTACGGACCTGCTCAATTTCAATTTTCTAAATATCGAGTTAATCTTCCTTTTACCGTTAATGCATCACTTACCCGGAAGACGGCTTTTGCCACATATGTAATGAGGGACGGATATATAATTACAAAAGTTCAAGCAGTAAGCAAATAATTAATTGTCGGCTTGAAGAAGTTTTTAGTAGAACGCTTGGTTTCAAGGGATCCGTATCAAAAGTGGTATTAATTGTTACCGAAGATGAAGTTAACAGAAATGATTTTTACAAGCGAAGGGGTAGAATTGGATTAGAATGCCACTTAAGGGGTGCCGAAAATTTTGAATTTCTTAAGGGAGTCAACTATCGTTTTCCAGCATTTTAAACGTCCCGATAAGCCTCTCATGATAGATTCAACTTGCCTTAAGAGTGCCGCGTGTATTGTACGTGTTAAACGATTGAAAAATGGCCATTTTCAGTTTTTAGGTAGTAACACCCCTTTGATTACTTTTTGCCTAAACTATGGTGAAAGTGAAAGTGGCTCTCAGTTTGTCATTTGCCCCTATAACAATGTCTTTCTTTTATAGGGCCGTTATCGCAGAGGCCATCCCAAAGAAAGACAGTTGTTTTGCTCACTTAGTCGATTATGGACGGAGGGTAAAATGCGATTTGGATCAGCTGTTTGACTGGCGAGATCAGCTTACCAATATTCAAATTCTATTCATCGTTCATGATGAAACACTTTGCTTTATCGACTAAATTATATTTTTCTAACTACTTTTCCACTTCCTTGCTGTTTTCTGTCAAAAATTAGCGTAACTTTGCGTAGTTACAACTGCCAGTGATTTGAAAAACTCCCGTAGCTGCTTTTAACTGTCGTATAAGACGTGTTTTGAAAGCAAAAAGTTTAAAAGTGAATAAAGACAGCACTTAATGTTTAGGTTTGGAAGCCGTGGCCTGATGTGGTAAGCTTAGCTTGGATGACTTGTTTTTACTTTCTAGCTTTTAAATGAGAAAAGCTACTGTGTATGCCTCACTTTCAAATGTGGTCATACCTTATTGGGGTGTTGTGCTGTCCAAAATGGCTGTACGAGGTAGTGGTTCGGGTGAAAGAAGTCGAGACAAAAGGTATTTTGATTCATATATTCTAAAAGATGTTTATGGTGACTTTGAGGTCGAAAATATGCCAAAAAGTGGTTCTGAAGAAGAAACTGTCGTTAGTTCACTAGAGGATGAAGGAAATTTTAATTTCGCTTACGAAGTTAGATTGGTGCAAGTGAAGGCTGAGAGGTTGCGAAATTTGGTTCTCTGCTAGTCATTGTGGAAGTTTTGTTGAATTAATAAAAAAACATTTATTTTTCAAGAATTATGGGTTTATGAATTTTTATGGAGATGAATTTAGCAAAAAAAGGCTTGAAAATATGGCAATTCTATCGGTAATGCTCCAGCAGTTATCTTTTGCGCTTAATGCAGTAGAGGCTCTGACTGAGTTTGATGTAAGTTCTGTATGTATTCTCGTATGAAATATGTTTTTTCACAGAATAAACGATTGATTTTCCGTATTATATGGCTTTAATTGTTTATTTATCGAGCCACGTGCCTAGTATAACTGTTTTGAAATGCTAAAAATAAAAAAGTTACTTTTATCACAGCATTTCCAGCACTTCTCAAGCGATTATATCCGATTACTTTTATAATGGTTTCGTTATTGGATATTAGAGAAGTTTTTCAGATTTTAGCAACTGTTTTTGACCCGTGTGTAAGCTTTGAGTATTTATTTGCACTTTTTCTTAAAACTCATATCTCTTTTTTGGTTTGACAGGTTTGGATGCTTTTGGTTTATTTAGAAATGCATCCTTTATACCTCAAGGTCGCGCGAGTTCAGTAATCCAAAGTGCGCATCGCAGTAAGTCTGCGCAAAATATGTACTCACTTGTCCCGTACCTTCACAGATTAATTTTGACCCTAATGTGCCTCCTCTGCCCGTCAAGGATTTTTACATTTGTAAGCTTTTATATTGCTTCCTACATAATTTCCCAAACTTCAAATCTAGTGTTTTGATGACGCCACAGAAGGCTTACCGTTTTTGGCCCAATAATCCTGATGGTGAACTTCTATGCGAAACAAGTAGTAGCGGGAATTCAAAGAAAAATTGGACACATGATAGACTGATTTATGGCTCCCCTACCCAAGTTTGTTACATGAAACATACTTCTGTAGTGTGATTGCCCAGTAATTTTTTTTTTTTTGTAATAATTGGATTCTAAAAAAGCTTTTTGGACTCGTCTTTTCGCGACTGTAGAGGAGTCAAAAATGCTTCATACATGACTAAGTCAAACAAAGGTAAGTAACCTTTATTATTGAAACTGCAGTTAACAGAATGACTCAGAGGGTTCTTGACACAACAACTTGCAAAGTACGATGCTTTGAATTTCGCGCCATTAGCTGGCTTTCATCAAAATGAACTACTGTTTTGTGGGCTTAGTCGAAGTGGGGGGCTTGCTTGACTTCGAATCGCGTCATCTTCTTCCGGGGCGTTATCTATACAGTATCTTTGTTCCACAGTTTTAATTGATGTGAATAAGCACCCCTGTTTATCAAATTGAAGAGGCAGTGTCAAGAACTAATGTGCTGCGAAGCTTCACGAAAGCTCTCTTTGAAATGTGTAGCGCCAAGTTCACTAATTGGAACGATCCTTAGAAGTGAAATGTTTGGTTCTTCCAGCTGTTTTTTTTTAACAAATCCAACTTTTGCTTGACTTCAGCGGGCGCATTGAAGAAAGAGCTCAGCCTAAAGAGTCGTAATAAGGTTGTTCTCCTACCAAAAAATGATAAGAAGAGGATGCGGGATGTAGTTAGCTAGCAAACTTTTATGCACTAATTTCCACACGGGCTTTCTTGTACTAGGCAAATTTATCCAGTGGTTACATTTCTTTTAACCCTACTGTATAATAATCGTTCTGTCGGACGGTCAAGTCTTGTATCAGCATCAGATTCGTGCCAAAAAAACCATAGACAGTAAAAGTTAGTATTGAACATGGAGGAAAGCCTTCGTTCCCGTTAAGGATTTTTGCCTCTAACTCCCTACTTCGCCAACTTTCTACTAATATTAGCGATTCGTAATCTGTATAAAACTTGTTTTGGCCGAGAGATCTCTCTTGAGCGTTCGTCTCTTAACCCGTTGAACTCTTCTGGAAGTAAACTGCGATCAATCCCAACGCATCTTTCAAATTTATTATGTTGGAATTTTCGGTGATGGGAAGAGATGGGAAGTAAGTGGGAAAGTTTTTATTACTTGTATTCTTATAATAAAACGCATTTGTTCACAACTCCGAGAGAAAAAACTCATATTCATTTTCAAATGCTCGTTGACGATTCTGCCGAAAAACCCAAATACTGAAAATGTGAAGCCATATTTTTGTGCCGTTATATTTCGTCATGGAAATTACTTCGGAAGTGCTTTGCGCTCTTATAGCTTTTATTCTTGCGCTGAACTTTCCCACTTACTTCCCATCTCTTTTACTGATCGTAAATGAGGCCCTTTCGTTAAGTTACAAAGTAACGAATTAGACTAAATTTTCTTGGCACTATACAGTCTTGGCACTATAAAACGGTATACAGTCATTAGAGATAGGCCGTGTCTGAGAGCAATGATACTGAAACGACGTTACAAACAGTTCTGTCAAAAAATGTTTGGTCAGGCGGGTGGGGCGTTTCTTGCCTAAAATCACTTTTTTTTTAAAATTAGAGCTTTAGATTTCCGAAAAGCGTTACAGTGATTGCAGTTTATTCTTCAAAAAGAGTACTTTGACGCCGAGGAGGTGCTTTGAATGGCGTCTATGCCACTAGCGTATGGTTTTGGTGTCTTCTCAATTTATCTTCAAACTCGTTTAGGGTGTACTATATTTCTTGCAAAAGTGCAATTGGTTTCTTTCTCAACTACAGATCTTCTGTTATAATGGAGCAGTAGGAAACGGTATATCAGAGCACATGCGGTATTACACCGAACCGTTCAATTTATCA